CACACACACACACACACACACACACACACACTGACTAGGACCTGTTCTCACTTTCAGGAGAAGCAAATCACCTGCAGTGCCAATAAAGAAGGTTCCAATTTGGATTGTGAGCTTGGAAACCCTTTAAAAAAGGACTCAGAGGTGAGTCCTGTTTTCTTCCTCTGCAAAAGTGTCATTGTTAACACATTGTTAACACATTGTTAAAATCGCATATGTTTTGGTTGTGCATATAGAAGACCATCTACATTATTTTGGGCACATCCGGCATCTCTCCCAACACTACTGATCTGGAGATTGATCTTCAGCTAAATACGTAAGTATATGTAAACTTGTAATCCTGCAGCACAAACTGCAAAATAACATGGATTACACTTCTTGGATAGTTAGGTGACTTAAGCTCAGGCATTAATGCACTGTAACTAATTATGTGTTGACATTTGCATTGTCTGTGTGTAACCTGTGTGTAACATATGATCCAATAGCACAAGCGACCAGCAGAAAATAGCTCCTGTCAAAGCAAAGGCAAAGGTGGCCATCATGTTGCAGCTGACGCTATCAGGGTAAAACACACACACACAAAACACACAAGTATGCACAATCTCATGCCACTAACTGCATCTCTGTCCCTCCAGACAAATCCAGCCATCTCAGGTCTACTATACAGGAAAGGTCAAAGATGCAGCGGCCATGAAGACTGAAAGTGATGTAGGCAGTGCCATCAAACATCAGTTCAGAGTGAGTGCAGTTATCCACCTGATCAGACTTCTCCTCTAAAGCAGTCTACATGTGCTTTAGTTCAATAATTGATACTTCATCCACTGAGACAGGACACTTGCTCTTGACTTGTTTTACAGATAATCAACTTGGGAAAGCGCTTGACGAATTTTGGCAGTGCCACCCTTATCATCAGGTGGCCAAAGCTAACTACGGATGGCAATTTGCTGCTCTACCTGATGGACATCACCTCCACAGGAGTGGAGAATCTGTGCTCTCCTAAAGATGTGATCAACAATCTGAGCCTGGTCAGTGAGAGCATTGCATTCACATGATGGTCACTCGAAGAGAATATGTGATGTTTCTTGGCATGTGGTGGAAGAAGTAGACTGAAGCTGTTTTCTGACATGAAAGTTTGCCTTTCATATATGAAGAGCTCAGCAGGAGATGGTTTGTATACAACAAAAGAAAAACACCATCCTGCGCATTCAGGCGAGGCGTCTGAGTAGAGCACGCAGGAGGCAGGACATGATGCATGAACTCAACAGCAGGGATCGCTTGTTTTTGTTAGTAATAGCTGAATTTTGCTTTAAGGAACCAAGTAGCAACAGGAATAGAAGATCAGCAGGAAACTCCAAGGGAACTGATGAAGGCGTGATTTCCCGTTATGAAAAGAAAACACGATCTGTGGTAAACACACACAACCAAGTTCTATTCTTTTGCTTTTATATATTTTAAGTGCATTTGCAACCAGTAGTAGAGGAATCAAGTGTTGACTTTGTCTTCTTTGTTGATAGTCCTGTGACAGTGGGGCACAATGTGTGACCATAAAGTGCCCCCTGCAGGGCCTGGACAGTAATGCAGTCATCACTTTTCACTCTCGCCTTTGGAACAGCACCTTCATCAAGGTAACTGTGTTTTTTCTCAAATATATTCTGTTATAACTCTATCACACTGTGACAATCAGCTTCACTGTGGAGAATATGTATTTATAGTATTCTAATAATTAAGTATTCCAATGTCTTTTTTTTTCCTTATTTGCTTCTATTGTTTCTGTTAGTTATTTCAGTCCTAAAGGAATCTAATTGAATGTGAATGTAACCAGTTCGAAATAGAGCAGTATTAAGTGTGAAAAACACAAACGCGATGACAGATTTGAGTGTGTTCTTTTATTCTTCCCATCTAAACTTGAATCTGTTTTCTGTGTTCAGGAATATCCCCAGTATCATCATGTGGAGGTGATAGTGAAGGCCTCGCTGCACATTGACAGCTCAAAGAACACATTTGTGTCAAACGCTGAAACTGAGGTAAATAAACACAAAGAAAGATTTCTGTGACTCTGTGCTAGTGACAGCCAGTGGCCAAAGGCTTTAGGTTTTTGTTTTGTCCATCCATCTCATTCTTGTGGCCATATCTCAAGAACGCCTTGAGGGAATTTATACAAACTTGATCTTACGTATGAACTGATTTGTATTCATTTTGTGATCAAAGGTCAAGGTCACTGTGACCTCACAAATGTATTTTTTGCATTGTGAACGTGTAATCTCAAGAACACGTTGAGAGAATCCTTTAAAAATGCTACAAATGGTCACTTAGACTCAAAGAGTAACTGATTCGATTTCAGTGTTCAAAACTGAAACTGAACGGTAATTTGTAATTAGCTTTATAGTATGTGACTATCCTGGACCAAGAAGGGGACGTGATTATTTACTGCATCAGATGCAGGTTTATACAACAGGTCTTCAGTGCAGGTGCTGTTGTTGGAGACAAGGAGGTCAGCTGGTGGATGATGTATAGACAATAAAGAGACGTTTTAAAACATAGAGGAGAGTTTGATCCTAAAAAGCGACGCTTTGCCACTACACTGTGTTTCCCAGGCAAAACTGACGGTGTTCCCAGAGATGCGTGCAGCGCAACATGGAAGAGTGCCATGGTGGATCATATTGCTGTCGATCCTCTTCGGCCTGCTGCTGCTGGGCCTCTTGGCTTTCCTTCTCTGGAAGGTAAGACTGAAGGATACAGCACCAGGATACACTGCCCCAAGCTACTGAACACACTTACAGTACATCTGCTTTATTTTAATATCACGTATAATGTTTATAGATTGTTTTACTTCTAGTTAAGTCTGTAAAGCAGCATTTACAAAACGATAAGTATACATCAAAGCCATTTCACACAACTTCTAACGATTTCCCTCTCTTCAGTGTGGAGTCTTTGGAAAAAAGAATAAAGAGGAGCCACCAGAAAAAGAGACACTGACGTCAAATGCATAAAAACAGAGAGGGTAAAATAACATGGCCTGCCATGTATGAGTGAAACTTCTCTTCTTGCTCCTTTTTTGCTACAAAAGCACTTCTACTCTGGTATTAGACGAGAGGTGTGGGCAACCCTAACGGTGGCAGGAATGCTATTCCAACATCTGACCTTTTTTACACATGATTGTATGTGTGGATCATTACAGTTTACCTGCATGGCCAGGGGAGGTGATGGCTGATGGGGTGTTCTGAGGAATAGGGGGCTGCTCTGCATCTATTTGATTTTCTCCTCTATTTCCAGTTTAATTTTTTGGGGCTATTGCACATGTCACTTGGTCCTGAAGGTTTCTTTTTCTCTCCATTCAAAACCAGGGGCATCACAAAATATGTCTTCTTTAAGGAGTGCAGACAGCGTTCTGCAAATCTTAAACATTCACAGCATCTTTGCTCTTAAATATCTCACCGATCTCTTTTGCCTTCTGTGTTTTTTTTAAATATCTTTTTCTCACACAAAACATTGACTTAGTTTTCCCTCTCTTGCCCGCAGTGCGGCTTTTTTAATCGTGCCAAATATGAAGACAGAGTCCCCAGTTACAACGCAGTTCGGATCAAACGGGAGGAGAGAAACATTAATGCTGGAAATGGTAATTGGGAGAACCTGGAGAAGAAGCCATGGATGACGACCTGGCACAAAAGCCAATGACATTTTTACTCAGATCACACAGATCCTCCGATGCTTACAGATAAACTACCAATTCCATTGATTTTTTTCTGTCTTTGTAGAGCTCGGACTGTAAGTAAAGAAACATTTTTTTAAAAACAAAAAGAAAAAAAAAAACTTTAAGAACTAAGTATTGATCAAACATTCTGCTTCAGAGAGATTTTATGAGTCACTGGACGGAGAGAGGCAGTGTGGGTTCTGCAGTGCGAGCGTTTCCACAGTTTTTGTACATTTTTTAAAAATGTTTTGCAGAATTGTGTGTATTTATTCTTTGTTGTTGCTACGTGTTCTTCTGGCCAAAGAGTCATTCAGTGCTTACACAGGTGACTGTCAACTACATTGCATCCACCCCAGGCAATTTTAAAATCATGTCTACGGAGTATCTTGGTGTCAGATAAAATTTTTTGTATGTTGTGCTCAAGGTGCCTCAGGTTGTAAATTAACTTTAAACTCATCCACAGTTTTCAAATACACGGTTTGTAAAGTTACTTTTAAGCCTCTGCAGAACTTACTGGCTCTATAGCAGAAAGGAGGTGGGAGCAAAATAAAACCTTTTTTCATATCCATTTGTTCTGAGTTATTGTTCAAGGTGAAGTTGAACTGGAGACTCATAAAAGATGAGTTTTAATCTTAAAACTAAAATGAATGTGAATGTAACCTGTGAGTTTAAGGCAACTGTGGGATGTTAAAAGATTTATTAGAACATAAAAAAGCATTTACAGCGAATACCTGAGTGCTTTAAATCAGCACCTTGTTAAATATTAAAGACACAATAACTTAAAGAACACTAAAATTATCACACACACATTTAACAAAAAGATCGATAACTGCTGCGAGAGGAAACTGGTGCTGGAGTGATTCTGAAGATCTTTGTTCCCTAAATGAAAACCTAACATACGACATCCGCTCTCAATCAACCTGTTTCTATTTGCCAAACAGAAAAGTAATTCAAGTGTATTTCTGCATGTCAGATTGCAAATGCTCCCTCATGCTGGTGGTGTATCCAACGTCCCCTTCTTTATAAGAGTGATTCAGTTCGTACAGTTTTACCACTGCGCCCGATGTCCTTTACGCACTTCTCCTCCGTTGTTGTTTTCACGCTCTCTTTTTGCAAAACTGCATTCTTCTCTTTCTCCCTTTCTTCCTTCAGCCTCTTTTCTTCTTTCCTCTGTTCTTTCTCTTCCCTTTTTTTCATCTCCTTGAGCTTTTTCTTCAGGACGGACCGGTCACTTTGACTGCACACGCCCAGAGCCTGACGACGGGGAAAATAAAGAAGCAGAGGGAGAATGTGTAAATTTTCACTGCAACTGATAAAGTATGTTCACATTAGGCAACACACATGGTTCATGCACAATTAAGTAGACTATTTACTACCAGTTAAGACATGCTGATATACAAGCATGCCCTTCAGCATTGCTTTAAAGTGAACTGTGTCCCGATTGATAGGTAACTCACTAGCACTGATACAAAGTAACCATGTGCTTTACAAAATAACACAAAAGTTCTGAAATACAAAGTGGAGCCAGACCACGTAGTGATTTAACAAGTGATCAACAGAATCTGAAACTCTTCAGTGAATGAGGGGGGGATCAGTGTAGTTCAGCTAGGACTGGAGTGATGTGTTTTCTACGTTGTGTGTTTGTAAGAGGACTTGCTGCTGCAACTGCTGCGTCAGTTGCCTATGTGGATGTTACATATTTTGTCCACCAGAGAGAACTGTGCAAAGCTCAGTACATACCTTAGTAACACTTTTTTGAGGTTTTAAAAGGATCCTTATTTGTAAATTCAGCCAACTCATATTTAATCAGACTTTCTAAACTATTCAAATCCAGTACACCCAGTCACTGATTGCATTTAGCAACAGCTATCTTCAAACTTCATTACATTTCCAGACAAATAAGTAG